TGGCCACTGCTGAGTTTTCCAAATTTGCTGGCATATTGAGAGCAGCACTTTCACAGCATCATCTTTTAGGATTTGAAATAGCTCAACAGGAATTCCATCACCTCCACTAGGTTTGTTCATAGCGATGCTTCCTAAGGCCCACTTGACTTTACATTCCAGGATGTCTGGCTCTATCTGAGTGATCACACCATCGTGGTTATCCGGGTCATGAAGATCTTTTTAGTATTGTTCTTCTGTATATTCTTGCCACCTCTTCTTAATATCTTCTACTTCTGTTAGGTCCATATGACTTCTGTCCTTTATTATGCCCATCTTTGCATGAAATATTCCCTTGGTATCTCTAATTTTCTTGAAGAGATCTCTAGTCTTTCCCATTCTATTATTTTCCTCTATTTCTTTGCATTAATCGCTGAGGAAGTCTTTCTTATCTCTCCTTGCTATTTGGAACTCTGCACTCAGATGGGTATATCTTTCCTTTTCTCCTTTGCATTTCGCTTCTCTTCTTTCCTCAGCTATTTGTAAGACCTCCTCAGGCAACCATTTTGCCTTTTTGCATTTCTTTTTCTTGAGGATGGTCTTGATCACTGCCTCCTGTACAATGTCACAAACCTCTGTCCACAGTTCTTCAGGCACTCTATCAGATCTAATCCCTTGAATCTATTTATCACTTCCACTGTATAATCTTAAGGGATTTGATTTTGGTCATACTTCAGTGGTCTAGTGGTTTTCCCTACTTTCTTCAATTTAAGTCTGAATTTGGCAACAAGAAGTTCATGATCTGAGCCACAGTCAGTTCCCAGTCTTGTTTCTGCTGACTGTATAGAGCTCCTCCATCTCTGGCTGCAAAGAATATAATCAGTCTGATTTCGGTATTGACCATCTGGTGATGTCCATGTGTAGAGTCTTCTCCTGTGTTGTTGGAAGAGGGTGTTTGCTATGACCAGTGTGTTCTCTTAGCAAAACTCTGTTAGCCTTTGACCTGCTTCATTTTGTATTCCAAGGTCAAATTTGCCTGTTACTAGGTATCTCTTGACTTCCTACTTTTGCATTCCAGTCCCCTATAATGAAAAGGACATCTTTTTTGGACGTTAATTCTAGAAGGTCTTGTAGGTCTTGATAGAAGTATTCAACTTCAGCTTATTCAGCATTACTGGTTGGGGCATAGACTTGGATTACTGTGATACTGAATGGTTTGTCTTGGAAACAAACAGAGATTATTCTGTTGTTTTTGAGATTGCATCCAAGTACTGCATTTCAGACTCTCTTGTTTACTATGATGGCTACTCCATTTCTTCTAAGGGATTCTTGCCCACAGTAGTAGATATAATGGTCATCTGAGTTAAATTCATCCATTACAGTCCATTTTAGTTCACTGATTCCTAAAATGTTGATGTTCACTCTTGCCATCTCCTGTTTGATCACTTCCAATTTGCCTTGATTCACGGACCTAACATTCCAGATTCCTATGCAATATTGCTCTTTACACCATCGGACTTACTTGCATCACCAGTCACATCCACAACTGGGTGTTATTTTTGCTTTGGCTCCGTCTCTTCATTCTTTCTGGAATTATTTCTCCACTGATCTCCCGTAGCATACTGGGAACCTACTGACCTGGGGAGTTCATCTTTCAGTGTCCTATCTTTTTGGCTTTTCATGCTATTCGTGGGGTTCTTAAGGCAAGAATACTGAAGTGGTTTGCCATTCCCTTTTCCAGTGGACCACCTTTGTCAGAATTCTCCACCATGACCCGTCCATCTTGGGTGGCCCTACACAGCCTGGCTCATAGTTTCATTGAGTTAGACAAGGCTGTGTCTTATCAGTTCATGTGTACCTAGTATAGTACAGTACTATATACCTGATCATGTTAGTTGGATACCTAGGCTAACTCTGTTGGACTTACAAACAAATTGGACTTACAAACATGCTCTTGGAATGGAATCTGTTTGTATGTAGGGGACATACTGTATATATTTTGTGAGTTGGAGAATGAAAGCTGAGAGTATTCTGGACACCTTAAAGAACCTGCTAGACTTTGGAAAATGGCTTTGTTAGAGTCGGAAAAGAGGGGAAGGTTGAGAATACTGAACTCCAGGGCACAAGTTCACAAGGTGTGGTGTACTCATTTTCAGGTGTGGTCTCCTTTGGGAACTGCAGTCCAGACCAAAGAAAGCAAGGCCAAGAAAGAGGTAAGCCGAAGTCCTAACTTTCCAGATAGTTTCTCTTCCCTAGATGACTTACGTGAGGACTGTAACTCCACTTCAGAGGAGAGTCCACCCCCTTATAAATAGAAGCACTCTATGGGACTCAACTCTGACATACAGGGTGTATGTGTGGGTGTGTGGGTGTGTATGTGTCTGTGTGTAAATGGGATTAGAGGACAGCTATTTTCTTTATAAATGTTTGCTGCATATGTAAAAATTCAATTATCTACTCCTACGTGCAAAAGAAAAACAAGAAATGACAACTGTTTGAGTTACACTTTCTCTTTTATCATGCTTTCTGCAACATCTGTGGGAAAGAGACACCTTGGGGACTGCCAGAATGGGTAATATATTGCTTCTGCCTTCAGGCAAGTTCTGCTCTGCTGCTGGAGACAATGGACATGGGGCTATGAAAGTGTGGAGACAGGAGAGAACTTCTGCTAGATCTCTCCACCTTACTGGGTGGCTGTGCCTCTGGTCACAGGATGGAGTAGGACAGCAGCTGAGGGATGGGGTGGGTAGGGAAATCTCATGACTTCCCAGGCCTGTTCAGGATTGTGCCTCTCCTCATCTGGCTCAGCTTCTTGTGCCTAACATTGAAGCTGACTCTGGCTTGGAGCCTTCTATAATCCATGGTGTGTCTCTGGCCAAAATACAGGGAAGCCACTGATGTCTGGCGTGTAATATTCACTCACTTGGAGCCCCGTTAGCAGGGATAACCCATTATGTCTGGCATGAAATGCCCTCCCTCTTCATTCCTATGCAATATTGCTCTTTACACCATCGGACTTACTTGCATCACCAGTCACATCCACAACTGGGTGTTATTTTTGCTTTGGCTCCGTCTCTTCATTCTTTCTGGAATTATTTCTCCACTGATCTCCCGTAGCATACTGGGTACCTACTGACCTGGGGAGTTCATCTTTCAGTGTCCTATCTTTTTGGCTTTTCATGCTATTCGTGGGGTTCTTAAGGCAAGAATACTGAAGTGGTTTGCCATTCCCTTTTCCAGTGGACCACCTTTGTCAGAATTCTCCACCATGACCCGTCCATCTTGGGTGGCCCTACACAGCCTGGCTCATAGTTTCATTGAGTTAGACAAGGCTGTGTCTTATCAGTTCATGTGTACCTAGTATAGTACAGTACTATATACCTGATCATGTTAGTTGGATACCTAGGCTAACTCTGTTGGACTTACAAACAAATTGGACTTACAAACATGCTCTTGGAATGGAATCTGTTTGTATGTAGGGGACATACTGTATATATTTTGTGAGTTGGAGAATGAAAGCTGAGAGTATTCTGGACACCTTAAAGAACCTGCTAGACTTTGGAAAATGGCTTTGTTAGAGTCGGAAAAGAGGGGAAGGTTGAGAATACTGAACTCCAGGGCACAAGTTCACAAGGTGTGGTGTACTCATTTTCAGGTGTGGTCTCCTTTGGGAACTGCAGTCCAGACCAAAGAAAGCAAGGCCAAGAAAGAGGTAAGCCGAAGTCCTAACTTTCCAGATAGTTTCTCTTCCCTAGATGACTTACGTGAGGACTGTAACTCCACTTCAGAGGAGAGTCCACCCCCTTATAAATAGAAGCACTCTATGGGACTCAACTCTGACATACAGGGTGTATGTGTGGGTGTGTGGGTGTGTATGTGTCTGTGTGTAAATGGGATTAGAGGACAGCTATTTTCTTTATAAATGTTTGCTGCATATGTAAAAATTCAATTATCTACTCCTACGTGCAAAAGAAAAACAAGAAATGACAACTGTTTGAGTTACACTTTCTCTTTTATCATGCTTTCTGCAACATCTGTGGGAAAGAGACACCTTGGGGACTGCCAGAATGGGTAATATATTGCTTCTGCCTTCAGGCAAGTTCTGCTCTGCTGCTGGAGACAATGGACATGGGGCTATGAAAGTGTGGAGACAGGAGAGAACTTCTGCTAGATCTCTCCACCTTACTGGGTGGCTGTGCCTCTGGTCACAGGATGGAGTAGGACAGCAGCTGAGGGATGGGGTGGGTAGGGAAATCTCATGACTTCCCAGGCCTGTTCAGGATTGTGCCTCTCCTCATCTGGCTCAGCTTCTTGTGCCTAACATTGAAGCTGACTCTGGCTTGGAGCCTTCTATAATCCATGGTGTGTCTCTGGCCAAAATACAGGGAAGCCACTGATGTCTGGCGTGTAATATTCACTCACTTGGAGCCCCGTTAGCAGGGATAACCCATTATGTCTGGCATGAAATGCCCTCCCTCTTCTTTTATCTTCTCACCAGTTAAGCTAGAACCCACGATTTTTTTTTTTTTTTTTTTTTTTTGCTGAGGATATGGAAAATAGGAGCTCTGCCCAGGGTTCCCACAGAATATTGTGAATCCTGGGTAGAAAGCATTAAGAATGACCACTCTGAGCTGAGCCTCACAAAGTGCTCAATGGCTTACCAAAGAGAATCAGCAACATTGTTGAGGAGGGTAGAGGAGTCATGACTTTCCTGAGCTTTGTAGTATTCTGAAGGCAGAATCAACAACTAACTGAGGTCTTCTGTACCTACCCAGTTGACTTAAGAACAAAATACTGAGTTCTGGATCATCTAGAATTGCCAGCTCACTTAAGAACTTCTTAAGTAAGATAAATAGGATAAACGATACCAAGTATTCATTTAAAATTTCTGTTTTCCAAGACATTTAAGTATCCCTAGGTTTTCCCCATTTTGAGAACTTTAATAGTAGCTTAATAAGAAAAAAATGAGGCTAGAGGACAATGGCCAATGGATGTTAGCAATGGGTGAATGGAAATAGAAACTGGGTAAGAGAGGGGAAAGGATTGTACGAAGAGTATTGATATAGTAACCTTGATACAGTTAAAGCATAAATGCGAAGAGCACAGAGAAATCAGTGTTCAAGGTGTGCAATGCATCTTCTAAGTCACCCCTCATCAGAAGCAAAAGTTCTGTCATCCAGCTATACAGAAGATAAGAGATATAGACGGTGTTCACCCAGAGAACGCAGACGGTGTTCACCCAGAGAATGCAGACGGTGTTCACCGTGCCCCTCATAAAAAATGAGAGATTTCGTTTGCTTTTGTGTGTTTAGTTCTTCCAGATATACAGTGGGAAGAAAAATCAGGAAATATGAACCTATAGAACAGGAAAAGATTTTGGAAATCACCTAGTTCAGTTAGCTGTTCTTACGTAAGTAAACGATGGCCAGGGGCATTATCCTGTCACTCTAAGGCATTGCTGTACACTCTAAGCAGTTATCTTTTCCTGCTTTATGAAAATTAAAAGCATGAAAAGACTGCTGGTTAAGTCTGTCCAAGATCAGACAGCTAATTAGGAGCAAAGACTAGAATCTAGAATCCATCATGTGTTCCAGGTCAGAAAATTTTCTTTTTTTTTTAAATTTTGTCTTAAGCTCATGGTAGCCTGAAACATAGAGTATGTGAAGATGCATGTAGAATACATTGCTTTAAACTTTGCTTTTTTATATTTTAGGTCAAGATGGGGTTTATATTTTCAAAGTCTATGAATGAGAACATGAAAAGCCAACAGGAGTTCATGCTTATGAATTCCCGACTTCAGGTACATTTAAAAAAAAAAGTTTATGTCGTTACAGTGGTTAAAGTTTCTGTCACATGTGTTTCAGGGCTATGTTCTCCTTAACCTCCCCAAAGGTAAAATACTGTCGGTGCTCTACCCTCAAAGACAAGATGAAATGGACTACTAATTATCTGGTGAATGGACTTGTTTAAATCTTTAATCTAGATACCTAATGTAAAAATTTCCATAAAGAAGGAAAAGATAACTGCTTACAGAGTATATGGCAAACAGAATAATGCCCCTACTCCACCCCACCAAAAACGATGTCTGCATCCTAACCCCCTGTCAGTATGTTATGGCAAAAGGGACTTTATAGTGTGAGTAAGCTGAGGAGTTTGTAGGGGGAGATCCTGGATTATCCTGGTTTTTCTGGATGGGTCCAATGTAATCATAAAGATCCTTAAAAGAGAAAGAGTGAGGAAGGAGGATCAGAATCAGAGAGAGACAAACTTGCAGATGCTATGCTGCTGAGTTTGAAGATGGAGTAAAAAGTTCAGACAGCCTCTAGAAACTGGAAAAGGTAAGGATATAGATTCTCTCCTAGAACCTCCAGAGGGAATGCCATCCCTACAGTCCATTCTGAACTTCTGATCTCTAGAACTGGAAGGCAATAAATTTGTGTTGTTCCTGAGTTGGGAATATCCCCTAGAGAGGGGAATGGCTGCCCACTCCAGTATTCTGGCCTGGAGAATTCCATGGACAGAGGAGCCTGGCAGGCTACAGTCCATGGGGCTGCAAAGAGTCAGACACGACTGAGCAACTTTCACTTTCACTTTTCAAGCTACCGTTTGATAATTTTTTATAACAACAATAAATTTTAATAGAGTGTGAATATTTGACACTGAATTTATACAATGGCTGGATAAAAATATCAAAGCAAAGTAGAAAACTGTCTAGTTGCCTAATATACATTATTAAAAAGTATTTTAAAATGTATATCAGATACATGTATGTGTACGGCTGAGTTCCTTCGCTGTTCACCTGGAACTACTATAGCATTGTTAATCAGCTAAACCCCAATACAAAATAAAGCATTTAAAGTTTGAAAAAAAAATGTTGTATGTCAAAATCAAGTATTAAAAGTTTGACTGAAGTTATTTTCCTAAGATTTCTAAGAAAGATCTCTAGGCCACTGCAGTTCATTATAGCCCTAGGAGTAGACAGTCCTATTGTGAGACACAGAGTGACTGGTTAAAAGTGAGGACTAAAGCAAGGCAGCCTGGGTTTGAATCCTGCTTCCACCTCCTGACTCACTGTGTCTTGTGCTTCAGTCTCCTAACCTCTAAACTGGAGGCGATAATACAGCTGTTGCTGTTGTCATTATTATTATGATAAGAGTGTTTTCTACAAGATAAAGATTTCTCTGGGGAGAATGGGACTGTTGCAAAGAATGGGCAACTGAACTATTTAACAGAATAAAGTGACCGAGAGGTGACCAAACATGCGGTTTATGAACCAACAGAGTATGTTACATACTCAGAGAGTCCTTGTCCAAAACCTCTGGAAATTATAGGGCTTTTTCACAGAAGTCAGGGTCTGTGAAGGTTTTAGGATTTACCCTACTTGCAAGCTAAGAGATTAGCCTATTACTATTCCATGGATGCTGGCACAACACAGGAGACACCTATGTGTAACAGAGGCCTTTTCGTTACTCACAGCACAGTAAGAGCATAAGCATGAGGTTCATGTCAATCCCCCACGCTTCTCAAGTCTGATGGAGGTGACAAGGATGGGTTCAGACGGGTGCTTTGCCCTCAGTGGGTTGTGCCACCCTCGAGGAACACTGGGCTTGGGGAATCTACTGCTTTCCTAGTGAGTGGGGAGTTGGTAGAGTTGAGGTAGGGAGACCTTTATAACTCCTTCCTCAAGGAAAACCTCAAGAAATGGCCTGAACAAAGAGTAGTCTGGATCTTGCATTCTTGGCCTATCCAGAATGTGTAGGGACATTCAGGGCCCATGGTAGATTGCCCCTCAGTGTGACTGACCAGAGCTTTGAGAACAGCCTTGAACTTTGAGAACAGCCTTGACTTCTGCCCACTATAGCTGGCACTGAGGTCAGACTGGCAGGAGCACCGTTGGCACCATTAGTTTTCAGCTTAGCTGAACCAAAGGTGAACCAGGCCCAGGCATTTAGGACAAACTCTGTGAATCCGAAGGGCCCACTGAGCCAGTAGCTTTGCTTCAGGTGTCAGAGTAGGGGATAAAGTTTTCCCCAAAGTAGTAGAATAGCTTCTACTACTTTATGCAAAACTGAGATGACACTAGGGCCAGGCTAGCCACATCCTCAAATTTATTATTTTCATTTGATCAGCAAATGGGTACTTTACTTGTATTTTCATGTCCTAGTTGATCCACTCAAAAATGGGGATGTCGGACCTGAGAGTCACAAATTCTCTAGGGGTTAGGTTTTTAACAGGAGCTTAGTAATAGGCCAATTAACTGCCTCCCTGGTTTTTTTTTTTTTTCTGAAAGTAGAGAATTGTCTTATTTGGTGAGAATGTTTAGGACTCCAAGTCTGGGAGACAGTACCTTATAGCTCTGAGAAAACTGCTCCAAGGAAGCAGGGGGGGAGTCAGGCTATATACAAGTTTGCAACAAAGGGAGCAAAAGTGCCTCCCTTTTTGAAAGGGGTATGTTATGGGTTTGGATCTCATCCCACCCCCAAATTCTTATGTTAAAATCCAAACCCCTATTACCTCAGAACGTGATCTTATTTGGAGATAAGAGTCTCTACAGAGGTAATCTAGTTAAAATGAGGTTATTAGGGTGGTGGCTCTAATCCAGTATGACAGCTATAAAATGTGGACACAAAGACATGCATACAGGGAGAATGTCATGTGACTAGGAAGAGAGTCCTTAAACAGAGCCTTCTTTCACAGCCCTCACAAGGTACCAACCCTCCAGGTTGGATGCATGAGACAAGTGCTCGGGGTTGGTGCACTGGGATGATCCAGAGGGATGGGATGGGGAGGGAGGTGCGAGGGGGGTTCAGGATGGGGAACACATGTAAATACATGGCTGATTCATGTCAATGTATGGCAAAAACCACTACAATATTATAAAGTAATTAGCCTCCAACTAATAAAAATAATTGGGAAAAAAATAAAATAAAATATAAAAATACAAGATACCAACCCTGCTGACACCCTAACTTAGGACTTCTAGCCTCCAAAGCTGAGACAGTTTATTTCTGTTGCTTAAGCCACCCAGTTTGCTGTACCTTGCCATGGCAGCCCCAGAAAACTAACACAGGATGCGTTTTGGTGCCTGTGTCCAGTGTGTGGTGCAGCTTGTATTGGGCAGTGGCTTCTGGAGATGGCTGGGACTTTCTCTTTTTGTCTCTATTGAATATATTGTTTCTATTGGCCCTCTTGGAAGAGGTCAGAGAATTCCTCAATGGGAGAATGTCCTCTCGTCACTATGAACATTTACAATAAAAGCAAGTAAAACAAAGCACATTATACATTTATATTCAGGGGACACAACTGCAGTTATGTTGAATCAGTCCAGTGTACTTTAATTTCCTTTTCTCACTGCCAACTGCTCAAACCCTATCAGCTGTATTTTGCTCTATGGGAACAAAGACCAAAGATTTTAACACAGGTATTTCAGGGGTTATCATGATAGTTTCAGGAGATTAGGCTATTTCCCAGCTGGGGAAGATAGGGAATACAAATGTATTTTTTCCCTTTGGTTTCTTATCCTGGAATTGGTACTGTTTGCTCCCCTGTGCTCTCCCGGCCCTTGGAGAGCTCAGCAGCATCGTTCTTTCAGCCAACACTGGTGCCACTGCTCCACCCTGTATCCTTCGCACTTTGGACCACCTTGGCACTTAGCACACCCTCCCTGCATGGGACCAAGTAGACATGCTGCCCATATCCAGCAGAGCCATAACCATTCAGTCCCTCCTCTGCCCTCCCTGAAGTTCCCTGGCACACTCAGCCATCTTCCCTGAAGCAGCTCAAGTTGGAGGAGAGGAGAAGGGAAAGAGCAGCTCAGAGCCAGTCAGCAAGGGTTTGACTTTACTCTCGATTTCAAAGGGCTTCCCACCACTGGACTCAACAAACAGGTATCTGATATATTTAGTCTATGCAGAGTTCTATATCCGAAAGCCTGACACCACTATTTCAGCTTTAAGGAACCCCTGATCCAACAGCCGCAGCCACATTGCATGCCTTTTGGCTGGGGAGGGGGGCTTGCTGCCCCACTGATGTCATGATAACATCCTTTCCTTCTCCTACTCCAGAGAAGAATGTGCCACAACCAAAGCACCATCTGGGAATCTTGTTTAGACCCTACATTTTGTTTCTCAGGCTCACTTAACACACAAGACAACGAGAGATCTTTATTCTACCCTCCTACTCCCACCACCACTTGTGCAAAAGCATTTGCTTCCAGATCTCAGGGAGCTTTCTGATACCCTCTAACCCAACCAACAAGGGCCCTTCTCCTGTGTCTTCCAGAACACCATCTCTATCAGCATCTTATCTTTGTCCCCAAACTGGCAGGCTCCATGAAAGGTCTGGAATTTTACCCTACTTGCAAGTTAACAAGTTAGCCTGCTATTGTTTCACAGATGCTGGAAGAAACCTTAGTCCCAGCACAGCCAGCAGCATGAGCACAGTGTTGCTGCTAGTTTTCTCTGCGTTCCACGGAAGCCCCATGAAGGTGGGCCTGGTTGGATGTTGAGGTGGATGCATGGGTTTGTGACACAGATGAAGAACAGTTAGCTTGTAGAATCTATCACTTTTATCATGAATGGTGAGCAAGGCTGCTCTCTGACTGGGAAGAGATGTTGCTTCATCCCTCAAAGTTGCTCACTGCAAACACAACCCTGACCAAATGGCCTGGTTGAAGAGCAGGGCCTGTATCCTTAACCTACTCAGCAAGAATGCTTAGGTCAATGGCAGGTTGATTCATCCAACACATGAGTTGGTTAGGATGATAGTTTTTCCTTGTTGACAAGGATATACTTTACTATT